CGCATTGAAAGAGGTTTGATTGCCAACTATCGGATTGTCCACGAGTCGCTACGTGGAGGGCCGGGTTTGCCCAACAATCTTACGTCCCCTAAGAATTTAAGCATTGCATCCGGTGTAAAGCACAATCGTAGAAGCATTCAATGGACAATCCTTAGATGAGCAATCCACAATTCAAGATTTACAAGCTACTTTGTTGTTACCTGGTGGGTTTTTTTTTTGGCTTGCACGTAAGTGTTCTTCTAGGTTGCATTGCCACTTTTAGATTTCGTCAGTGGTAAAATTTCAATTGGTGATGAAGTATAGAGCATTTCGATCTGTAGTGGAAACCCACATCTCTTGGCGCTCAATCCTTGTGATTATTAACTTCTACCACTTATTTTGCTTTTGAAATATAGAGATGTCATAGTACAGAGGAACTGAGATTAGTTGTGCAAAGATGTTGGCATAGGTATCCATATCTCGGTTTTTCAAACACTTTCGTGGTTGAAGTTGTTAAAAACATCTAATTCAAAATCAATTGAAAATAAATGAACAAATCCATGATCCGTACTAATATATTGGCATATTATAAGTTGTAACACTTCTTGCACGTGCACACTCCATTTGTGCTAGAAAGATAGATATAAGATCAAAAAATACCAAAAAAAGGGGGGGGGATATCAATTACACTGAAATAAAAATTACGTCTGCAGTCCTTTTTAAGATTCCGTTCAAAATTTCACTGCATGTTAATCAACACACACACATATATATATATGTTTCAGAGGTATATGTGATACATATTCTAAAAATGGTGGTGGCAAAATAAAAAAGCATTAGCAACCAATTTCTCAATTTTGAGCACAAAATGTCTCCTTTACTAAATTGAGTGTAAACTACAGCACTCCTTTACTAAATTAGTGACAAGAAGTTACACTTAAACAAGGCTCACCAAACGGCCCGCGTCATGACCCAACAGTCTGCAAAAAGTTTGCCAAGGGCTAGCCCAACCCATTTGCCCTAATGGCCCATGCATGCATTGCAATATGAAACATAGAATGTGCTTGATCTTCAAACTTTTTCAGGCACCAATAACCATGCAGTACCCAGGGCTTCTCTCTTTTTTGCACTTGTTTAAGGCAATTTTTCTGCTGTTGGAACCACTAGCATTTCCCATGGCGTACAGGATCCACAGCAAGGTATAGATTAAGGATGTTTCGGGCGTATTGCTGAAAACAGTAGTCAAGATTTTCTTTATTTTGATAACTTCCTCAGCAGATAATTTACTCATTCATTCTCTGGCTTTCAATCGTTGAGAAAAAGATTCCAAATTGTCAATGTATTAGACCATATGATTAAGCTTTGGAACTTGTGATGTTCGCGATTGATGCAATATTTATATTTTTAGTGCATGACCTTCATCACCTCAAGTGTTCTCGGAAAAACTCGTTATAAACCCGCCCTCTTATTTATGAATAGCTTACCACCATGACACCATCATTTACAATATGCCTCATTTGTCATGCAATCTACCAGTTTAAAGCCTGTAGCCAACATTTGATGCTGATTCAACTCAAAGTAAAAGATCTCAGTTTTTATTGGGTCAAATACAGTGTGAGAAACATCTATATATGTACGTGTGGCGGCTACTTTGCAAGTAACACACACATACATAGAGATAGAGTGAGAGAATGAGAGAGAAGAAGAAGAAGAAGAGAGAAAGAGATAGCAGATTTGTCAAAGATATATTGTATACGGTTTTATCTATACTACTAATAAAAATACCTTAATATAAAAAATTTTTGATTCACTATTTTACCTTTATAAAAATCTATAAAAGCTAACATGTTCTTTTGTTTTTAAATATTTAAATTATCATTATATCCCTTTGTATTTAAATAACAAACTACTATCTAATATATTATGCAAATCTATCTATCTTTGCAAAACTTTTGAATGGTCATGTTATGCTTAACATGATATATAAAAATAATATATATTTTTTTAAAACTCAATATTAATACACAGTGACAACTTTATTGATACAATATTATCTCCAATACCAAAAAAGGGCTATATTTATTTTATCTCTTTATTCGCAATCAAAATAATTTGGTAAAAACTTACTGATGCACAAAGTAAAAACAAGAAGGACAAAAAGACAAAAAAAAACCGAGAAAAGAAAAATATATAAACATTACAATTTGTTAGCTCGAATGAAAGAATCACTAAAAATGAGTCAATTGGATATTTTTAATTATGAAGAGAATACAAATAATTTAAATATGATAAATATGAAATAATATCTAAGGTGACAATATAATTAGATTTTTTTTTTTATGTATTTTACTAAATGTATTAACAAAAATTTTCACGTGTATACATATAAGGCTTTATTGAAAACTTGAGACTGGCTCCATCCATGGCGTTAGTACCAATTTTCACCAATGCTTTGGCATTAGCTGTCACCGCCCATGTCAATACATGTTAGTCCAACATCAACCTATCCTATGTGGTGAATGCAAACCATTTAAATCTTATCCTTAAACCAATTAATCCCATTCCTTGTCCCACTGAAATAATCAGTGCCACACAATGCATTTTCTATTGCAATAAAGTTGCCTTCGAGATTAGATACTTGTTTCCATCACCATCAGCATCACATTGAAGCTTTATTCGATCTTTAGAAATTCGATCTTCATCTTAAACCAAAACTGTGATGTATTCATCTTGCTGCAGAAACATAATTAGTGGCATGTGAAAGTATTTTAATTTCGGGTAGGGGGTGGGGGGATTAGATCACTTGTGTACTTGAATCATGATCAGAAAATATCCATTTCCTGCAGCAATTTATCAGTCAATAATTATTTTGCAATTGATAGGTTCCATAACCCTAAATACTAAACGCTCAATCCTTTTTGAATTCCAATGTTGGTGTTAAGACAATTTTGCAGATTTTCTTACTTTTAGATAGTTTTTCAGTTTGCTCATATCAGATTTTGATTCAGTAGTAGCCTTGAAATTGGTACTTTGTCGTATCCTTGGTCTATATAATCCCCTAGCTATCCAATGATCGATCTACATTTCACATGCAGTTTGTTTTATAGCTTCATCAAGGGTGAACAACAAAGAAGAAAACTAAGAAGAAAGATGATGTTTATGATCTTAATATAGCAAGCTTTCACTTTTTTCTAGTGGAGTTCTTAAAAAACTTGGTTTAGCAACAACATATGGCTGATAAAATCTGTGTGTGGAATTTGGACCAGATTCAAAGTAAAAGAGGGGAAGGAGGGGAGGGGGAGAAGAGTTGACCTTGATTCACATATGACACTGATTTCTTACAAACAATACAGAATGGGAGATGAAAATAGACCGATTCAGTTCTTTTTTTTTGAACTAGATTGACCGACTCAGTTCAGTGACCAAAATTAAACAACTAATTAACATGAAAAGTATTGGNAGAAGAGTTGACCTTGATTCACATATGACACTGATTTCTTACAAACAATACAGAATGGGAGATGAAAATAGACCGATTCAGTTCTTTTTTTTTGAACTAGATTGATCGACTCAGTTCAGTGACCAAAATTAAACAACTAATTAACATGAAAAGTATTGATTTATTATTCCAGTAATTTTCCAAAGCTAGCTATATATGAGATTAAACAAAGCATAGACCCTAGGAAGCACAGATACTTGTCAAGGAGTTGACGTGACAGTGTCAAATCCGTGTCGAACACTTCTAAAAGAGTCTTGAACAATTACGTGAGGATCTAGGAGGGATATAATGGGGTAACATCAGTTATTTTAAAAAATTGAGAGGGTTAAAATGAAAAGAAATGTCGTTTTTAGGGTTGGAAAAATAAGAAAAATAGGGGGGAAACGTAGTTTAGTCTTCTTCCTAGTCCACAATCGCCATAGAAAGAAGAAGAAGAAGGATTCGATCAAACCAGTCTCCACATTTGCTTTGGCAACAAGGAGAAGAAGAAGAAGAAGGAAGACCATACCTAAGACTTGAGTATTGAGAGAAAAAACAATTAGCCATAGATTTCTTCCTCTTCAATACATCACGACTAGATTTGGCCGCGTCGATCTCTTCTTCTTTGATCTTTTCCTTTTTTGTTCCTCTTTCCTTCGCCTTCTTCCTCTCTCATTCTTCTTCCTGATGCTCCTACAAGTTTCGGCGATTTGTGTGAGGCTGTAAGCTGTTGGCTGCCCTAGTTGTTTTTCAGCCTTTATTCTTTTATCTTCTTTCTATCTCTCCCTCTCTCTATAGAGAGAGAGACTTTTCCTTCAATTGTTTCTCTTTTTAATATTTTTCTTCTATTTTTGTATAATTTGTTTATTAGTTATCAAATACGTTAATCCGCTGTCTAATTTGGTGTTAATCCACAGTTCAATTTGGTGTTAGCCCACACCCCAATTGTAACATATTAGCCCAATGTCAAATTTGATATTAGTTCATTGCTTAATTACTCGGTGATTGTTAGGTTTTGTTATTTATATAAAAAATATATAATATTATTTTAATAAATTGTATCATTGTCTTACTCGTATACTATATTTTGAAGCTTTGTTGTACTCCCGTATTTGTATTGTATCGGATATAATACCCGTGTCCATATGCTTAGATTCCATCAACATGCAACCACTATGGAAACTACAAATTTAATAAACAAATATTTACCAAATTTGGATATGAAAATAAACAAAACATAAACCCCATCATGGCATAATTAAATATTCACACACATTGAAGCCCTTTTCTTATTTTGGAATAACCACACAGTGAAAGCAAAGTCACCATAGCAAACCCTTAAAAAACCCTAACTAAATTTGCATCATCTTCGGACATATCCCTATACACATCTAACATGAGAATCAAGCAAAACATCAAGTACTAGAACACCCTATCCAACTCCAAGCTTCTGAGAACTGAATCCCTTATTTATATAATACATAACCCAAAACCACAGTACTTAAAACATTTTTAGAGGTAGAAAACTCGGGGCCAAGAAACATCACTTATCTCCGAACAAGTACCCTAGAGATGAATCTCCACCAGGAACTGATTTAACCTTTGTTGATGGACGATCCTGAAAAATATCGATGTGGGTAAGAAGCCATACGAAAAGTTTAAGGTACAATTAAATGTTAAACATATAGATGTTGTAGGCTAGCTTACAGTGATGAAGTTTCCTGTGTTCTGGCCTTCAGCTCTGCGATAGTTGTTGGAGACATTTTCTTCCTTGGGAGGAGGAGGAGAAGGTTTTGGTGGCTTTTCTGTGTGGGTATCAATTCCATATGGCGGTTCGCAAACCACTGGAGTAGAGGGAGGGGCAGTGTTTTGTTGATCATCAGAACCAAACAGATAGCCCAAAGAGCTCTGACCACCTCCATAGCTCCCACCTCTACTCATGGCTGCACCCTCAGAATTGATCTCTTTGTCAACAATGGGGAAAGAAAGGGATCAGATACCTCTAATATATAATGTCATGATGTAGGTATGTGTGCACCTCTTGATGATGATGATCAGTATCATGCCACTTTGACATCCTTGTTCATTTTTGAACAGTTTAACTAGCGATATTGAACAGTTGTGACATTCGAATGCCCGTATGACAAACGGGTATCTAGTACATCTCCATTGGCTTAAGTGATGGTAATTGACACGAAGCTTTTGAGGCAATTAACATTGATTAATCTTAATCAAGATATGCTGATTCGAACACGCCTAACTACTGTTGAATAAAAAACAAAAACAAAGAATGTTTTCTTTAGAAAGAACTTTGCTCCTTAGCAATTTCAAAGTATAAATAATTGTTAAAAAGAAATTGGTTGCTTCAAATTCTAAAATAATTATCCAAAGTCAAGACCAATCAACCCAAGAGTCTAAGAGTAATAATATATCAAGAGTGTTTTCTTGAAGTATACATAGTTTTTTTTTTTTTTGAGTGAGTGAGTTATATTGTAGTAACTTATCCGATTTAATCCACTCTAATTTGTTATTTTGTCTATCTTTCAACAAAATATATAAAAATAATACTACATACAACCCGAGGAAAACGTGGGTTCCTTCTAATGTTCATTCATAGAGGAAAGCGAGTGCAACTTTTTCATAATTTATTAACAAAAGTATTGATGTGGGGAAATGTTTTACGCATATATATATACACATATATACATACACATCGCGGTACATGAACTATACTAATTATGTTATATTTGTGCTTATGTATATTAATCTGTGCCTAGCTAGTTACAAAAAAACTTGCTACTGGAACAACAAACGGTTTTAGAATAGTGGGCTAAGTCGGTCAAGCATCAAAATCAGATGTATTAGGTCAACTACTATTTCTTAGCAGATTTACTGAAGAAATTACAATTAGTGGTGTCAATTCCACAACTGTGGAGTGTGGGAAGAAAACAAATATCATTGCTCATTAACCATCTGTTATAATGGAATCAATTTGTCACACTCACACTCACACTCCATAGAACAGTACCTAGAACTAATGCCCATACTTATCTCACCTCCTGATACAGTGCAGGCACTGAAGATTCAACAAAATATACAAATTATGGTACGAAAGAGTAATTTTTTGTATTATATCTAGGGTTAATAATTAAACGAGTTCGAGTTAAGTCNCTAAGACTTGAGTATTGAGAGAAAAAACAATTAGCCATAGATTTCTTCCTCTTCAATACATCACGACTAGATTTGGCCGCGTCGATCTCTTCTTCTTTGATCTTTTCCTTTTTTGTTCCTCTTTCCTTCGCCTTCTTCCTCTCTCATTCTTCTTCCTGATGCTCCTACAAGTTTCGGCGATTTGTGTGAGGCTGTAAGCTGTTGGCTGCCCTAGTTGTTTTTCAGCCTTTATTCTTTTATCTTCTTTCTATCTCTCCCTCTCTCTATAGAGAGAGAGACTTTTCCTTCAATTGTTTCTCTTTTTAATATTTTTCTTCTATTTTTGTATAATTTGTTTATTAGTTATCAAATACGTTAATCCGCTGTCTAATTTGGTGTTAATCCACAGTTCAATTTGGTGTTAGCCCACACCCCAATTGTAACATATTAGCCCAATGTCAAATTTGATATTAGTTCATTGCTTAATTACTCGGTGATTGTTAGGTTTTGTTATTTATATAAAAAATATATAATATTATTTTAATAAATTGTATCATTGTCTTACTCGTATACTATATTTTGAAGCTTTGTTGTACTCCCGTATTTGTATTGTATCGGATATAATACCCGTGTCCATATGCTTAGATTCCATCAACATGCAACCACTATGGAAACTACAAATTTAATAAACAAATATTTACCAAATTTGGATATGAAAATAAACAAAACATAAACCCCATCATGGCATAATTAAATATTCACACACATTGAAGCCCTTTTCTTATTTTGGAATAACCACACAGTGAAAGCAAAGTCACCATAGCAAACCCTTAAAAAACCCTAACTAAATTTGCATCATCTTCAGACATATCCCTATACACATCTAACATGAGAATCAAGCAAAACATCAAGTACTAGAACACCCTATCCAACTCCAAGCTTCTGAGAACTGAATCCCTTATTTATATAATACATAACCCAAAACCACAGTACTTAAAACATTTTTAGAGGTAGAAAACTCGGGGCCAAGAAACATCACTTATCTCCGAACAAGTACCCTAGAGATGAATCTCCACCAGGAACTGATTTAACCTTTGTTGATGGACGATCCTGAAAAATATCGATGTGGGTAAGAAGCCATACGAAAAGTTTAAGGTACAATTAAATGTTAAACATATAGATGTTGTAGGCTAGCTTACAGTGATGAAGTTTCCTGTGTTCTGGCCTTCAGCTCTGCGATAGTTGTTGGAGACATTTTCTTCCTTGGGAGGAGGAGGAGAAGGTTTTGGTGGCTTTTCTGTGTGGGTATCAATTCCATATGGCGGTTCGCAAACCACTGGAGTAGAGGGAGGGGCAGTGTTTTGTTGATCATCAGAACCAAACAGATAGCCCAAAGAGCTCTGACCACCTCCATAGCTCCCACCTCTACTCATGGCTGCACCCTCAGAATTGATCTCTTTGTCAACAATGGGGAAAGAAAGGGATCAGATACCTCTAATATATAATGTCATGATGTAGGTATGTGTGCACCTCTTGATGATGATGATCAGTATCATGCCACTTTGACATCCTTGTTCATTTTTGAACAGTTTAACTAGCGATATTGAACAGTTGTGACATTCGAATGCCCGTATGACAAACGGGTATCTAGTACATCTCCATTGGCTTAAGTGATGGTAATTGACACGAAGCTTTTGAGGCAATTAACATTGATTAATCTTAATCAAGATATGCTGATTCGAACACGCCTAACTACTGTTGAATAAAAAACAAAAAAATTTCCTTTAGAAAGAACTTTGCTCCTTAGCAATTTCAAAGTATAAATAATTGTTAAAATNTTAATCAAGATATGCTGATTCGAACACGCCTAACTACTGTTGAATAAAAAACAAAAACAAAGAATGTTTTCTTTAGAAAGAACTTTGCTCCTTAGCAATTTCAAAGTATAAATAATTGTTAAAAAGAAATTGGTTGCTTCAAATTCTAAAATAATTATCCAAAGTCAAGACCAATCAACCCAAGAGTCTAAGNTGTCCAAAATACAACATTTGGGTTAGGAATTTCATCAAGCATTTTGACAATATCAAAGGTGCCTTACATATGCAATAAGTGCATTGCTCAACAGAGTTTAACACTCAACTGCATAGCTCTNCCCAAGAGTCTAAGAGTAATAATATATCAAGAGTGTTTTCTTGAAGTATACATAGTTTTTTTTTTTTTTGAGTGAGTGAGTTATATTGTAGTAACTTATCCGATTTAATCCACTCTAATTTGTTATTTTGTCTATCTTTCAACAAAATATATAAAAATAATACTACATACAACCCGAGGAAAACGTGGGTTCCTTCTAATGTTCATTCATGGAGGAAAGCGAGTGCAACTTTTTCATAATTTATTAACAAAAGTATTGATGTGGGGAAATGTTTTACGNAAAATAATACTACATACAACCCGAGGAAAACGTGGGTTCCTTCTAATGTTCATTCATAGAGGAAAGCGAGTGCAACTTTTTCATAATTTATTAACAAAAGTATTGATGTGGGGAAATGTTTTACGCATATATATATACACATATATACATACACATCGCGGTACATGAACTATACTAATTATGTTATATTTGTGCTTATGTATATTAATCTGTGCCTAGCTAGTTACAAAAAAACTTGCTACTGGAACAACAAACGGTTTTAGAATAGTGGGCTAAGTCGGTCAAGCATCAAAATCAGATGTATTAGGTCAACTACTATTTCTTAGCAGATTTACTGAAGAAATTACAATTAGTGGTGTCAATTCCACAACTGTGGAGTGTGGGAAGAAAACAAATATCATTGCTCATTAACCATCTGTTATAATGGAATCAATTTGTCACACTCACACTCACACTCCATAGAACAGTACCTAGAACTAATGCCCATACTTATCTCACCTCCTGATACAGTGCAGGCACTGAAGATTCAACAAAATATACAAATTATGGTACGAAAGAGTAATTTTTTGTATTATATCTAGGGTTAATAATTAAACGAGTTCGAGTTAAGTCTGTCAAGTTCAATTTTTTAAACAAACCTAAAAAATTGTTCAAGTTTAGCGAGTGTAAAACGAGCCGAATTCAAAGCGAGTCTGAGTATTTACACATAAATGAGTTATATCGGTCGAGTTCAGCCTGAGTCTATCAAACTTGTTTTCTAAACGAACTTAAGAAATTGTTCAAAATGAGCCAAGTCGAACCTGAATGAGTCTAAAACGAGTTAAATCCGAGCCGAGTTTTAGTTGTTCGATTCAATTATCAGCTTCAATTGTATCGGAAGTTATTACAAATTAAGTCGAGTTTATTACTATTTAATATAACATGACATTTTTTTGGATCGATCGTAACATTTTAATACGAGTCCTAACTTTTCTTAGTCATAACTTGACTCCATTACATCGTACTTGAACTTTTTTTGAATTGTTAAATGAGTTGTATAAGATTTTTGTAATGAATGATGGTATGACACGAAACTCAATTTAATAATCATTCTTCATAATAAAATTAAGTGTAACAACATTATTACATTATGGGGTTTGCTGCAAACTATGATCCAACTTTCCACCTTATTTTTAAGAGCCNTTAAAATTGTGTACATCTAACCCTCTCCAGGCCCCATAATGACAAAAAATGATAAAAATATCGTGCATTGAGTACACCCATAAGTCATTAGATGGAAGCATCTTTTTTTTCAGCAACATACACAGGCCCATTTAAAAGGAGACAGAATTCTTAATATCTGAGGTACTAGTCACAATGAAATTCAGATAAATCTTGCAACTTCCCTAATAATATTAGTATCTAGAAGTGCATTCACAAACCACAGAGTACAGACCATTGGACATCAGTGGCGGACAAAAGTTGATGAAACTTCAAAAGCTCTTGACAAACAAAAGTTGAGCATTTGCATAGCTTCCACACAATCGTTGGCCACACCTATCGGTTCTTGTCCAAAATACAACATTTGGGTTAGGAATTTCATCAAGCATTTTGACAATATCAAAGGTGCCTTACATATGCAATAAGTGCATTGCTCAACAGAGTTTAACACTCAACTGCATAGCTCTTGACAAACAAAAGTTGAGCCTTTGCATAGCTTCCACACAATCGTAGGCCACACCTATCGGGTTCTTGTGCAAAATACAACATTTGGGTTAGGAATTTCATCAAACATTTTGACAGCATCGATTCAAATGTGCCTTACATATGCAATAAGTGCATTGCTCAACAGAATTTTAACACTCAACTGAAAATCCCATCTTTACACAGGGTTTATAAATTTGTTCACCCTCTTACACATCAAATATTATTCGATACTTTTCGCCCACTCTAAAGGCCCGTTATTACGATAGCCAATTCGNTTTTTTTTTTTTTGTTCCTATTAGACATTTAAGGCAACAAAAAAGGGAACTAATTTAGTAAAATAATAATACAACTCATTTATACCCATTAACATTTTATTTTCTGAAATAGCTGTATCCGTCTTAGATTCACCTTAAATTTGCAGATATTTGTATTAATCTCTATTCATCGACTAATACAAGTAAATTTGTATCTCTCTAGCATTACACGTATCAAACTTGGAGTCAAAGTGTCAAACTAATCAGCCACAGTGACGTCTTCAATTGAACCGACAGAAGACACCTAGAAATTATCTCATCAACATCATGATGTTCTCCTTCTATATGTTTCAGAAATCTAAGTACTTTGACCCTAGGTCTTCCTCACCGAAAAAATTCATATACATGTATTTATTATATCAATGNCACATATATACATACACATCGCGGTACATGAACTATACTAATTATGTTATATTTGTGCTTATGTATATTAATCTGTGCCTAGCTAGTTACAAAAAAACTTGCTACTGGAACAACAAACGGTTTTAGAATAGTGGGCTAAGTCGGTCAAGCATCAAAATCAGATGTATTAGGTCAACTACTATTTCTTAGCAGATTTACTGAAGAAATTACAATTAGTGGTGTCAATTCCACAACTGTGGAGTGTGGGAAGAAAACAAATATCATTGCTCATTAACCATCTGTTATAATGGAATCAATTTGTCACACTCACACTCACACTCCATAGAACAGTACCTAGAACTAATGCCCATACTTATCTCACCTCCTGATACAGTGCAGGCACTGAAGATTCAACAAAATATACAAATTATGGTACGAAAGAGTAATTTTTTGTATTATATCTAGGGTTAATAATTAAACGAGTTCGAGTTAAGTCTGTCAAGTTCAATTTTTTAAACAAACCTAAAAAATTGTTCAAGTTTAGCGAGTGTAAAACGAGCCGAATTCAAAGCGAGTCTGAGTATTTACACATAAATGAGTTATATCGGTCGAGTTCAGCCTGAGTCTATCAAACTTGTTTTCTAAACGAACTTAAGAAATTGTTCAAAATGAGCCAAGTCGAACCTGAATGAGTCTAAAACGAGTTAAATCCGAGCCGAGTTTTAGTTGTTCGATTCAATTATCAGCTTCAATTGTATCGGAAGTTATTACAAATTAAGTCGAGTTTATTACTATTTAATATAACATGACATTTTTTTGGATCGATCGTAACATTTTAATACGAGTCCTAACTTTTCTTAGTCATAACTTGACTCCATTACATCGTACTTGAACTTTTTTTGAATTGTTAAATGAGTTGTATAAGATTTTTGTAATGAATGATGGTGTGACACGAAACTCAATTTAATAATCATTCTTCATAATAAAATTAAGTGTAACAACATTATTACATTATGGGGTTTGCTGCAAACTATGATCCAACTTTCCACCTTATTTTTAAGAGCCAAAAGGATGATTAATGGGGTTAAATCAAGATAAGGGGGAAACCTTTCCATAAAGGAAGGAATTAATAAGTTGAATGGCCTGGTATGCAGTCGGGCCCACTGCTGACTTGTAATCCTCCGAAAAAAGCAAGCATCCAGGAACTAAACTAGTTTACTTATATAGGGAATAGTTCGGTTGGAAGGGAGCATGTAGGCCAAAGGGATCTAATTTCCTGAAGTGTTGTTTTAGATTGTATGTTGAAACTTTATGTGGTTTACAGATGGGATTTATTGCATGTGCATAATTTTTTAAGGATTAGATTATAGTTACTGCTACCAAGATTTATCTGAAATGTTAGTTTTTATGCGAATGATTTGTAACCCTTAATCGTAAAAATAATAAAGTAGAGGTACAATATTTTTATTAGGTGAGAAATAGAAGAACGGTATCGCAGCTGGACCCATGATTTAAAGTCATGATATTATAAATTTATAATGCAGTCTCTACAAATGCGGATGATAGTTTGCTGACCTGAACTGATTGATTAGTTACGCAATACCCATATGATTGAACCTTTGCGGTTACAAAGAAATGGACAAATTATGATGTCTCGATTCAACTTAACAAAATCTTGTCTTAATATTTTTTGGAGTCGGAATAATAAACTATCGTATATCGACACAAAAATAGCATAGCGCCTTTAGTCCTCTTTTAGTTTGTTCTCATTCAACATTAATACACAAAGCATTGTATTTCATTCTTTGA